CATGATGGTACATAAATAAATAATAACCCGTTTCTGAATGGAAAAGTGAAGTCTGAAACTTTTCAGGTTTAGTACATTGTTATCGAGTAAATACAAACATTTAATAAAAAGTTTAGTAAAATTTGAGTAAAACTGTTGGAAAAGTGCAGCTTGAACATTCTACTCAATGTCTGCTTTTGTGTTCCTCGCAACAAAGGTGTGTTTTCAATGACCCAATGGTACCTAAATGAAAAATCACCGGTTATTGAATGGAAAAGTGCAGCTTGAACATTCTACTCAACGTCTGCTTTTGTGTTCCTCGCAGCAAAGTGTGTTTTGAATGACCTGGTGGTACATAACTAAATAATAACCCATTATTGAATGGAAAAGTGCAGCTTGAACATTCTACTCAGCGTCTGCTTTTGTGTTCCTCGCAGCAAAGTGTGTTTTGAATGACCCGATGGTACATAAATGAACCATTTTCTTCCTTTTTGTTCACTTTTAAATTGAATCGAATGTAAATTTCTCGCCAACTTCTCCTGACTTTGATTGGAAAACCGGCTCTTTGTGTCTGCAACGCGTTCATGACTGAACGTGGCTCACTAGTTGTGCATCTATTAAGTTATTTATTTATTAGCTATTTATTTGTGGTCTTCCAGCCATCAGCTCAACTCTTTCTCGGATCATGTAAAGGCAGAAACGCAATGCTTTGCACTCCAAACCCTTTGTTTTTCCGCAGCTATTTTGCAAAATATCAGGGATCTTTTTCCATTCTCTCGCCTCCCCTCAATAAAACCTTAGCCTTAACCATCAATGTATAAGCAACTGTACTGTACTGTTTACTTTGTGTTTTCCTGTTGACTGGTACTGTATGTGTACACAGAGCCATAATGAGCTAGAAAACCCCGTCATCCGCCGGCTCTCCTCATTTAAATCAGACCAACCTCCAACTTTAGTCAATAAAGCTCCTTTTGTTTAATTCAGCCTCTTGGATTTATTGTGGTTGCAACACTCATATATTTGCACTCTGACACTGTCATTGACTTTACTCCCTGACAAAAGTCTTGTCGTCTATGCAAGTTCTACGAACAGCAAATAATATCTTGACTTCTAGTTGATGATTTGGTATCAGAAGTGGCTTATATAAAAGGCAAAGGCCTCTAGATGATGCTTATTTGAGCACAATAAAACTTGATCATGTCTTGATTATTAATGATTTCATTAGGACAGGCAGGTCTGACTCTGCTTAGACTATATATATATATACACACACACACACATACATATACATATATAAATACAGTTGTAAGCAAAAGTTTACAAATACTCTAAAAAAATGTTTAAATGTCTGCTATTAAATCACGAAACGTTTACTATTTTAGGTCCGTTAGGATTACCTGAATAATTTACATTTGCTAAATGCCAGAATAATGAGACTTTTCTGTATTAATTTCTAGACAATCAAAACTTTACACTTATTTCCTTGGTATTTTTTAGCTTTGCTTTTAAACTGTATAACTTTGGTCAAATGTTTCGGGTCTCCTTCCACAAGCTTCTCGCAATAGTTTGCAGGAATTTTGGCCTATTCCTCCTGACAGAATTGGTGTAACTGAGTCAGATTTGTTGGCTCACACAAGCTTTTTCAACTCCTCAAATTTTCTATAGGATTGACATCAGGGCTTTGTGATGGCCACTCCAAAACATTCACTCTGTTGTCCTTAAAGCACATTTGAACTAATTCGGCAGTATGCTTAAGGTCATGGTCTGTTTGGAAGACCCATTTGTGGCCAAGTTTTAATGTCCTGGCTGATGTGTTGAGATGTTGCTTCAGTATTTCTCCATGATGTTCTTTCTTCATGATGCCATCTATGCTATGAAGTGGACCAGTCCCTCCTGCAGCAAAACAGCCCCACAACATGATGCTGCCGCCCCCATATATATATTAACTCTATATATATATATATATATATATATATATATATATATATATATATATATATATATATATATATATATATATATATATATTAATTCTATATTTATATATATATATATATTAACTCTATATTTATATTTATATATATATATATATATTAACTCTATATTTATATATATATATATATATTAACTCTATATTTATATATATATATTAACTCTATATTTATATATATATATATATATATATTAACTCTATATTTATATATATATATATATATTAACTCTATATTTATATATATATATATTAACTCTATATTTATATTTATATATATATATATTAACTCTATATTTATATATATATATATTAACTCTATATTTATATATATATATATTAACTCTATATTTATATATATATATATATTAACTATATTTATATATATATATTAACTCTATATTTATATATATATATTAACTCTATATTTATATATATTAACTCTATCTATGTAATTTTGTGGTAAATGATTATGTAATATATGTAAATGATTAATCGAGAAAAATCACATCCTAGATAAATGTTTGCGTTTACATAATATATACATGTGAACTGTGTATATTTTTGTATATTTGAAAAATACTAAACATAAAATACAAAAATATACTAAACAAATATATCAAAAAAATTATTTACATATTAGTTTATACAATATATTCACGGATCTGTTTATATACACTATTTGCACAAATATATTTAGTCTGAACTTTTATTCTGAATTAATCACTTGTCAACAATGACACATGAAAGTACCTCAAATATTTTATTAATTATCTAGAAAACATAATTTATCACTGTGATGCAAAGCTGACTCAAATGGAAAATATTATGTTCAGTTAAATATTTAATTTACATTACATTAAATCATAAAAAAAACCCGTAATAATGTTGCTTGTATTTTTGACCTGATGATAAATCGTTTATATACTGTCAATTTAGGATGTTCCCACATACATGACTTGTTTTTAAAAGCGCCCCCTTGTTGTTCAAGTAGTCTAATTTGCATATTAGTTTATTTAATGTTATTTCTTGAACTGTAGTAGTAAGCAGATCCACGTGCAGCTTTCATGTCTGTCCAGCAGATGGCGCTGCCGGATAGTTTTGATTTAAAATGTTTAAACTCTACTACGACGAAGGCTCATCAAAAGTCTTTAGCCACTGGTTTGTGGAGATCACAACTTCATGGTGTCAGTAGGAAAGCAACTTTTAAGATCCCCAACCGTTTTAGGATCACAAATAAAATGAGAGCGCAATCGTTCTAGAGTATTCTGTAACACAGGTAACTGTAAAGTTTTGTAAACACACTGATTGGTGTGTGTTTTTGTAATAAGGAAGAAGAGAAAATGAAAGTATTGTAGGCCTACATTAATTTTATGGCTGTATTTATACAATATTATTCTGGTGTTATTCAATGATAAGGATAAATTATAAATATATATAGGAAATATTCCTAGATTTTGATCCATATTGACATGATAGCATTACACGGTAGCTGCAGATTTGAAGAAGAAACCAGTCTGAGATGACTGAGCTTTATGACATGGTGTGTTATCCTGCTGGAAGTAGCCATCAGAAGATGGAGACACTGTGCTCATAAAGGGATGGACATGGTCAGCAGCAATACTCAGGTAGGCTGTGGCGTTGATGCTCAATTGGTACTAATGGACCCAAAGAAAATCTCCCCCACACCATTACACCACCACCACCAGCCTGAACCGCTGATACAAGGCAGGATGGATCCATGCTTTCATGTTGCTGATGCCAAATTCTGACCCGAGCATCCGAATGTGTCAGCAGAAATGGAGACTCATCAGAGCAGCAACGTTTCTCCAATCTTCTATTGTCCAGTTTTGGTGAGTCTGTGTGAATTGTAGCCTCAGTTTCCTGTTCTTAGCTGACAGGAGCGGCACCCGGTGTGCTCTTCTGCTGCTGTAGCCCATCCGCCTCAAGGTTGGACGTGTTGTGTGTTCAGAGATGCTCTTCTGCAGAGCTCGGTTGCAACGAGTGCTTATTTGAGTTACTGTTGCCTTTATATCAGCTGGAACCAGTCTGGCCATTCTCCTCTGACCATCAACAAGGCATTTGCCCCACAGAACTGCCGCTCGCTGGATATTTCCTCTTTGTTGGAGCATTCTATGTAAACCCTAGAGATGGTTGTGCATGAAAATCCCAGTGGATCAGCAGTTTCTGAAATACTCAGAGCAGCCCGTCTGGCACCAACAACCATGCCAAAGTCATTTAAATCCCCTTTCTTCCTTATTCTGATGCTCACTTTAAACTGCAGCAAATCATCTTGACCATGTCTACATGCCTAAATGCATTGAGTTGCTGTCATGTGATTGGCTGATAAGAAATTTGCGTTAACAAGCTGTTGTACAGGTGTACCAAATATAGTGGCCATATATATATATATATATATATATATATATATATATATATATATATATATATATATATATATATATATATATAAATATATATATATATATATATAATTATTCTTTATTCATAAGTGTAAATAGAAAGTACCTTTATGCATTAGAATAATATAATAAATATATATTTTATTTGGTAAATCTTTGTCTCTGTCTTATTGTAATATTTTTTTCTATTATTGCCATTTTATGTTTGTCATGATACAAATCACAATTAAATTATTAAAATAAATTTTATTAAAAAGCTCATTGTCAATCGTGTGTTACCATTTTACGGTAACCTTCAGAATTTTCATATGGTTTGTGTACGACTTTTATTTAAATTATTTTGTTAATAATATAGCTATAAGTGTAATAACTGATCTTCTGTAATTATTTTATACTCTGTGCGAATCGTTATTAAACCAATAATACAAAAAAACATTGAGAAGTAATTAATATTTATAAGATAAGTCATCATTCGCCAGCTGGCACCCGCAAACATCCCGAGCGTCAGCGCTTTAGCGAATCAGAAACGCGAATTCGGCAAAACCTCGCTTTGCGTGATTAATATTCATGAGCTCCACCTTCACCATAGTAGGCTTCGTATGTGGCTGACAGGGAGGAGTGAGTGCTACGTGATGCTTCCTGTGTGCGTAGAGCCAAGGGAGAGATCCTGATCTGCCGCCGGAGTTCACTGCATCTTTCCCCGTTGTCGGACCTCCGAAACCCCGCACATTCCTCCATCATGGCGGTGAATCTGAGTAAAAACGGGCCTGCGCTCACCGCGGCCTATAATGAGGTGGTGGGCGAGAAGTCGGAGACGAACTGGTGAGTGGAAACTCCAGGGTTTGTGCCTGTTCACTCACTGACATCCTCATTTATAGCATGCTAGCCGCTAATCAAACGCTTATTATTTGTGTTTATCATCTCATAGATGCTCAGTAGCGTCAATATAACCCTTACAGAAATTATCAGATTTTTAAAACAGTAAAATTATAGTAAACATGATTGTTGTTAACACAATGGCTTCAATTTGGTGTTACAGTTAACGTTACCATGGTAAACTATTTGATTTTGAAAAGCCATAGTTATTTTGAGATCACCATGGTCTATGGTAACCCGTAAGTGGTGTTTTGCAACACCAATAATAGTTTTACCATAGTAACTCAACACAAATGGAAGACAGTATGCCAAAAAAAAAACTTGTTTACTTCATTTTTACTATTTAACAGACATGGTTAATTTTGTATGGGGCTGACATTTAGTGAACTGAGGTGAAGTTGTTTCGTTTGTGTCTGTTCACTCACTGACATCCTCATTTATAGCATGCTAGCCGCTAATCAAACGCCTTATTATTTATTAATCTTCTCATAAATGCTCATTAGCATAAATACAGAAATTAACAGATTTTTAAAATAGTGAAATTATATTAATCATGATTGTTATTAATACAATGACTATTTGGTACTACAGTTACCATGGTGAAACTATTTGATTTGAAAAACCGTAGTTAATTTGAGATTACCATGGACTATGGTAACCCCAAATTATATGGTTTTCCAACATCGACCATAGTTTTACCATAGTAACTGAAGTCAGTGAGCCAACTTGGTTACTACATTTTTACTATTAAAGCATGGTTAATTTCATAAGGGATTAACCTTTGATGAACTGAGGTGAAGTTGTTTCGTTTGTGTCTGTTCACTCACTGACATCCTCATTTATAGCATGCTAGCCGCTAATCAAACGCCTTATTATTTGTTAATCATCTCATAAATGCTCATTAGCATCAATACAACCCTTACAGAAATTAACAGTTTTTTTATAGTAAAACTGCAGTTATCATGATTGTTATTAACACAATGGCTTCAATTTGGTGCTAGAGTTACCATGGTAAAACTATTTCATTGGAAAAACCATAGTTAGTTTGAGATTACCCTGGACTATTATGATAACCCCAATTTATATGGTTTTGCAACACCAACTATAGTTTTAGGATAAGTAACTCAACACAAATGGAAGTCAGTGTGCCAAAAAAAAACTTGTTTACTTTATTTTTACTAATAAAAAGACATGGTTAATTTTGTATGGGGCTGACCTTTGATGAACTGAGGTGAAGTTGTTTCGTTTGTGTCTGTTCACTCACTGACATCCTCATTTATAGCATGCTAGCCGCTAATCAAACGCCTTATTATTTGTTTATCTTCTCATAAATGCTCATTAGCATAAATACAGAAATTAACAGATTTTTAAAATAGTAAAATTATAGTAATCATGATTGTTATTAATACAATGACTATTTGGTACTACAGTTACCATGGTGAAACTATTTGACTTGAAAAACCACAGTTAATTTGAGATTACCATGGACTATGATAACCCCAAATTATATGGTTTTCCAACATCGACCATAGTTTTACCATAGTAACTGAAGTCAGTGTGCCAACTTGGTTACTACATTTTTACTATTAAAACATGGTTAATTTCATAAGGGATTTACCTGTAATGAACTGAGGTGAAGTTGTTTCGTTTGTGTCTGTTCACTCACTGACATCCTCATTTATAGCATGCTAGCCGCTAATCAAACGCCTTATTATTTGTTAATCATCTCATAAATGCTCATTAGCATCAATACAACCCTTACAGAAATTAACAGATTTTTTTATAGTAAAACTGCAGTTATCATGATTGTTATTAACACAATGGCTTCAATTTGGTGCTAGAGTTACCATGGTAAAACTATTTCATTGGAAAAACCATAGTTAGTTTGAGATTACCCTGGACTATTATGATAACCCCAATTTATATGGTTTTGCAACACCAACTATAGTTTTAGGATAAGTAACTCAACACAAATGGAAGTCAGTGTGCCAAAAAAAAAACTTGTTTACTTCATTTTTACTAATAAAAAGACATGGTTAATTTTGTATGGGGCTGACCTTTGATGAACTGAGGTGAAGTTGTTTCGTTTGTGCCTGTTCACTCACTGACATCCTCATTTATAGCATGCTAGCTGCTAATCAAACGCCTTATTATTTATTAATCATCTCATAAATGCTCATTAGCATCAATACAACCCTTACAGAAAACTATTTCATTGGAAAAACCGTAGTTAGTTTGAGATTATCCTGGACTATTATGGTAACCCCAATTTATATGGTTTTGCAACACCAACCATAGTTTTAGGATAGTAACTCAACACAAATGGAAGTCATTGTGCCAAAAAAAACTTGGTTACTACAATTTTAACTATTAAAAAACATGGTAATTTCGTTAGGGACTGACTTTTAATGAACGGAGCTGAAGTTGTTCTGTTTGTGTCTCTTCACTCGCTAACATCCTCATTTATAGCATATAGCTGCTAATCTAACACCTAATTTGTGTTCGTCATCTCATAAATGCTCATTAGCATTAATACAATCTGTACGAAAAACTTTTTTTTAAGCCAACTTTAGGTTGTAGTAACCATGATTGTTATTGGCCAGGGGTTCTCAAACTTTTTTCATTAAGTACCACCTCAGAAAAAAATAGTTTCTCCAAGTACAACCATAATGACCGGTATTGAAATACCGTAGCGTAAAGGGCCTAACTAAGCAGCTACAGCTCTGCGCAGTTCAAAAACGTGGCAGATTAATTCTTCTTATTATAAATATTTATTATTGTCAGCCACTTTAAACATAAATAGTTTAAACATTAACACTGTACTGTGCATACGGGTTAAAATAAATAAATAAATGTCGACATTAAAATTAAAATGTGCTTCTAAAAGTTAATAAAAAATAGCACTGTTCTTAAAAAGTAAAAAGAAAACTGCTGTACTTAAATGTAAAGTATTATCATAAACTAGCCTATTCATCAAAACACAGAAATGTTTCTTTGAACCTCATAAATACAAGCTATATGTCATCATATTCATATAACTCTTTTTGATAAACTTTGAAATATATGATGCATGTATATTTGACTTATTTGTATATCTTTGAAATCTAAACATTAGCTTATATTTTAGATATATGAATTGAATTTACATATTTAAATTAGAAATTATATATTCTTACTGCACGTTAGTGTGGGCTGTTTGTGTCAGTAAAGTGATTAAACTAAACCTGTCAGCATTGGGATATAAAATACGGGATACGCCCCCAACAACCGTTTCAGATTAGCTTCAAATGATAGAATACATAACAAACATCAGAAAATTGAAAGTAAAATAAAAGAATTAGCCTAATAAAATCTGTTTACTCATCACATCGGTGTTATCGTACATGTCAAAGGGTTAAAAGTGTGTTCCTTTTTTACTTTAATTATTCAGCGATTCCTCCGCGTACCATTAGAAGGAAGCCTGCTTACCACTAGTTTGAGAACCACTGATCAAGGCGCAAAGTCTAAAGCTCATGGTGCAAAGGTCATAAGAGCGTGTCTGAATCCACTTTTGCTACTTTAAGGATGGATAAATATGCTCTGCGCCCCGACGCATGGTCTAACAGGGCTGTGCTTATTCTCTTAATGAGTTCTGGGTGTGTTTTAAGAATAAGAGAGTGTTTTGAGTCAATTGTGTTGCGCCATGCCACATTTGCGCAAAAACATGATTATTTTGCTTTGTTTTAAGGAAAAAACATTAAGTTCAGACTTATTATTTTGGAAAACAAAACATTTTTCTAGAAAATGCTTCTTGATTCAAGATTTATTCATATTTTTTTTAGTTATTTATACTAAAAACAAGACAAAATCTCGAAGAAAAGCTTTGTTTTGCAGTGTATACAATGATGAAGGGCAGTTTTAAGTAGGTCAGAGACACTCCTGCATCAAAAGGCTATACTGATTATAACCTGAGGAAATGCTATTAATGTTTAACCCCAGACCAAAGTCCTGTAGCTCTGTGCCTGTAAGTGTAAGTGTGAGTTTCATTTTCAAAGTGAAAACGAGGAACTCTGTGGGGAAGGATGTGTGATTATAAATGACCTACATTAATTACACTCGGCTTTTTGCCCAGAGATTTGACATCATTTGAAAAAACCTTACAGATTGAAGAGGGTTAAAGTTGATTTAAGAAAGCTCAAACAAAACATAATAACATTGTGCACTACCAATCGAATGTTTATGTTAGTAAATTAACCAAAAGTCTCTGTAAATGGTTTATAAATTAGAACTAAACTACAACTGGCAGAAATAAATGTTTCTCAGCATTTGAGTGAATTATTTCTGAAGGATAATGTGAGGCTGGAGTTATGAAAATGCAGAAAATGTAGCTTTACACATTAACATTTACATTCAGCTTTAAAGTGTAATAGTATCTAACAGTGACTTTTTACTGCATTTCTTGTCACAAAAAAAACTTCTTGGAAAAACATTTAAAAACATTACATATTCCAAATGTTTCTACAATATTGTTGTATTTTGTTTTTTTGGAATCTATTATTATTAAACAATATATATACTTGCATACAGACAGACAGACAGACAGACAGACAGACAGACAGACAGACAGACAGACAGACAGACAGACAGACAGACAGACAGAGATAGATAGATAGATAGATAGATAGATAGATAGATAGATAGATAGATAGATAGATAGATAGATAGATAGATAGACAGACAGACAGACAGACAGACAGACTGATTGATTGATTGATTGATTGATTGATTGATTGATTGATTGATTGATTGATTGATTGATTGATTGATTGATTGATTGATTGATTGATAGATAGATCTACATCAGACATCTGTTTATATTTTCCAAAACAACTGACCTGAGTTAAGGGATCAGAAAAATATCAATCTGTAAACATATTTTATATTTTAAATGAGGGAAATAAACATGTGTTACTGATGTGATGAAAAATGTATGCAATTTTACAGTATACAACATACTTTGTAGAAATTCTGTGAATCAAACTGCACCACCCAAAAGAAACAACATTAAGCAAAAGGATATGAGGTAGCTCTCTATAGAACAAAAACGATTGATTTTATATGACTTTTTTATTTTATTTTATTTATTTGTTTTTTTTATTCATGACAAAAAAGATTCGTTATGGATGTGACAGATGTGAAATTTCTACTTGTGTGATTTTTGGTAAATCAAATATAGTAGTTTGAAAACATTTACAGAGACATTTTTGAGTATTTAAAGTACTGTAAAATACTTGCTAACACAAAAAACAGCCTGATCTCACAAAAAAACATAAGTATTTGACGTTTTGTCAGTTTAGTGTGCTAATTCGTACAAATTCATATGGGTTCAGTCGTACAAAAATGTACGATTTTAAAAAGGAGGAGTGGCACCCTAATCTCAACCATCATTGAGTGATGAACAAATCGTACTAAATAGTTCAAAGTAGATCGTACGAATTCATACGCATTGGCCACTAAATCAAAAAATGACGAATTGCTTTGAGATTGCATCGCAAAAAAACGCAGAAACAATTTTAATATTTTGGTGAAAACTTATTTTTTTCATGGCAAAGTTGACATTTCATTGGAATTGCTCATATATATATATATATTACACGTTTATATACGTATATTATACATACATACTTACATACTTGCATACAGTTGAAGTCAGAATTATTTGCCCCCTTTGAATTTATGTTTCTTTTTTAAATATTTCTCAAATGATGAAAGTCTTATTTGTTTTATTTCGGCTAAAATAAAAGCAGTTTTAAATTTTTTAAAGACCATTTTAGGGACAAAATTATTAGCCCCTTTAAGCTATATATTTTAGCTTAAATATAGTCTACAGAACCATCTTTATACAATAACTTGCTAAAAAAAATAAATTAATAGGGGGGCTAATAATTCTGACTTCAACAGTATATGTATATACACACACACACACACACACACACACACACACACACACACACACACACACGTGTTGACTGTTACAACTTTCATTTTCATGTCAAACCACAGCTTAAAAAGTCACAGGACGATCTGACCAGAGAGATCTTCTAGAAATAAATACGACTTATTCCTCATTATAGTACTTCCTGTTTCTTACAGTCAAGACACTGGTGTTAAGTCAGAGAGGAAGCTCACACAGCTTCCTGTCTGCACAAATGCCTCAGTTTAGAGAGAATCGAAGATGATCTCGCCTCAAAACCAACTTCGTTACAAACTAGAGGTGGAAATCATTTGGCGCCTCATGTTTTAATCCAGATCCATTTCTTGGGCCGTGATTGGATTAAAAATGGATTTTGAGCTATTCTTAGGTTTGATTCCAGTTGTCAGTTCAGTGTTATTAAATATGCCCAAAATATAATCATAACCGCTGCAAATTCCTGAAAGTTGACCCTTTTTATTTGAGAGCATGGCTTATACATGTTATTTTTATTATACAACCTAACATTACATTTTTTTTCCTGAATTAAATCAGTCAATATTCCTGTGTTAAATGTCTCAGGAAGTGCTTTGAAATGGGTATTTTTATTTGATGCTTGACGCAATCTCAAAACATAAAAAGAGGGTGGGACATATAGTAGCTCCTCCCCCTTTTTTAAAAGCAGCCAATAGTGTTTTGCTTTTCTCACAGCTTTGCCAGTGAGAGTGGTTGAGCTCAAGCACATCAAATAAAAAGCCAATGGGAGAAGGGGGCGGGGCATATGAGATTCTATTAAGGCGTAATCTCAAGTAAAACAAGAAGAGAGGGCGTATTCATTTATATATATATA